AAAAAATAAAAAAAAATTTAAAAAAAATTAAAAAAAAAAGACTAGTTTGAGCTACCTACTGAGTTCAAGGCCAGCTTGAAGTATGTAGTGAGACCTGTCTCAAAAAAAAAAAGCAAGCAAGCCAGCCAATTAGGAATTTTTATGACGGGGCAGGGGAGATAGTTCAGTAGAATAAGCACTTGCCTGACAAGCGCAAGGGCCTGAGTTCAATCCACAGTTCCACCAAAAAAAAAAAAAAAAAAAAAAAAGGAATTTTTATGAGACTAGTACAAAACTAAATGAGTGGGGGAGACTGTAATAGTTTATGAGACAAGAGGGGATACAATTGCTTAAAAATTTGAGAGTACAAATCAAGCACTATGAAAATGGCTATCATTTAAAATAATTCTCTCTTACTAGTTTATAGTTTTTCATTTTAATTTGTTAGACTTTAACAAATTACCTCAAGTCTAAGGACTAGAATAACTTATTCTATCATTTTTCTTACACATCTCCTATTATTCCTTTATCTCTTCACATTGTGTCCTCTGCACTTTTTATGTTAAAGTATCCCTTGCTTTATTGTGCTTAAGTCTATTCCTGGGATATGGATTGTCTTAAAGACTTCTACTACTTGGAAGTTGTTTCTTTTATGAAATCCAGACTTGTTTAATATAACTCTAGTTAACATTCACCAAATTTCTTTTTTATACTTTAAAGTTTCCCCCAATTTATTAGCTATCCTACCTACTTTGGGGTTCATAGGACTCAACTCTTTTGCTTGCCTTAATCTACTCGTATATAGTCATTTTCCTGTGCTCATAAATCGTAATGTCTGTGGCATGATTGCACCCTGAGCAGTTAGATACATGGCTAACACTTATCAGGGGTTGTATGAGTACTTGTTGAAATGAAGGTACCTGTCTCAAACTTTCTTTCTACATCAAGTTTCACTTTTAACTGGGTGACCTGTGGGCATCCTTATGTGTTTTTGTAAATTGCTGCTATAATAAATTATCACAAAGTTTTTGATGAAAACATTTATCATATCATTTTGTAGGTCAGAAGTTCAAAATGGGTCTCACTGGCTGAAAGTGTCAGCAAAGCCTACTTCCTTCTGGAAGCTCTCAGGAAAATGTTTCTTTACCTTTTCCAGCTTTGTAAACTGCTTACATTCCTGCCCCCCTGGGCCTTTTCTACCTTCAAAGCCATCAATAGCCAGTTGAGTCTTTTCTGTGTGAGCCTGACTTTCCTGTTTCCCTTTTTTGAATATAATAACCCTTGCAATAACATTGAGTCCACTGATAATCTGAGATAATCTCCCTATCTCAAGGTAGATGATTAGCAACTTTAATTCCATCTATAGCCTTAATTCCCTTTTGCCATGTAACATAACAATCACAAGCCCCAGAGACCATTATTCTGCATATCACAATGCATTTGTAATACCTTTGCTGTATATTTTCTTATCTTTTCAACTCCAATAAACTTACCTCTATTCTACCTTAGTCCTTCATAGCTATGGCTGCCTTTGGGAATTTTTCATCATTCAGAATTGCTCCAATTCTAGTATTGTAAACTACAAACATTTTTCTAGGTGCTCAGGAGATAGCTTGGCAGTCTAAGCACAAAGACCCTGGCAAGCACAAAGACCCGGGTTCAGTCCCTCTGACTGCATGCCGTACCAGCCCCATGCTGGTCTCCTGTTGGCCCTGCGCCAGCACCATGCCAATCCAGCCACCAAAACCGGGACTGTTGACACATGCCTGTATTCCCAGCGCTAGGGAGCCTGAGACAGGAGGATCATTACGAGTGTGAGCAGCATAGTGAGACCCTGTACCAAATAAATGAATAAATCTTTAAAAAAACCCTTTTTTTTCTAATCACAATTTCAGTCCTATATTATGAGAAAATAGAGAAAGCAGTTATAAAGACCTTATTTACTGGGTTAAGTATAGTTTGAACTTCATCCCTTAACGAAGTGGAACTCAGTGCTGAGTTTCATCAAGGGGAAAAAAAATTAAAAAAGGAATGCTCCAAAGCCAAGGAAACCAGCCTTTAAATATGGAAATATTAAATTAACTATATTGATCTTTTCCTCCCTTAATCTGGTTTTAATTAGAAAAATGAAGAGGGAAAGTGTGGACCATCAGGAGATAATGAAGAGATGGCCAGTGTATCAACTGACAGAAAACAGGTGAACTTTTGTGATGCTTTAGATGACATATGTGCTCCTCATAGCAAAGTAAAAAGAATGATATACAAAGAGGGTAAAAGACCCTCTTATACTACAGTTACATAGTTCCCTTTTCCTACTTTCAAGGGAGTTTCTTATATGATTTTCTAAAAATCTGTGCATTTATAAGCCTATATGTTTCTTCGGTTTAAAAAAGAAGAAAAGATTGGAAATTATTCTCTGATATACACCTATATCTTGCTCTTTTAAAAAAATTTTCAGATGTAACCTGATACCTTTTGATATTAACTTACATAGATGTGTGGAGAAATACCTCTCCATAACTGTCTTAAATGTCTGAATCTTTTTGGTTATGCCAAGAATCCAAGACCCCGTTGCTTATTATAGATGATATTTCTCAGAGTTGTGTTTGTAGTAAGTAACTTTGAGGGTGGGGGTATTGTCTTCCTTTTAGACAAAGAGCAGAAACAATGGGATTCCTGGACTTGGTGTTCCTCTTCACTAACATGCTCCACTGCACATCCATGCAACAATCTAGACCCCTCTGCACCCATCTGCATTGCCCTTTCATAGGATTTGAGGGAATGAACCATCACAAACATGATGCTCATAGTGTTGTACTATGAATAGTAACCTAGAGTTTTGTGTCTTCTGATAACAACAATCGGTAGTTGGTGAGTAGGACAAAAAAAGAAAAAATCAAAGCCCAGACTTAAAAGATGAACTCTGTATATCCATCTTTACTGAGGCAAAAATATCAAGTTTGAGACTAAAACGAACCTAAGGCTAGGTTGCATTCCATTCTGACGCTTCCACTTACTACAACTACTAGAAGACTGGATTTTTTTTCAGTGAATTACTCTCCTGGACCTGGACTTTGTTTCACTAGCATTTTGGCAAGTCATTTTTGCAGTCTTAGTTACAGAGTCATACATTTAAACATGAGCAAAAGAGGAAAATCTGCTTTGTGTACAAACTGGTATACTAAATGGCAATTAAATATTTTTCCCTTTATGCTTATAATGAAAATATCTAAAACTTCATTACTACATAGTATGTCCTTGTTACTTTAATGTTTGAGTTTTGTAGGGCTTCTGATGTATTGAATATTCCAATGCTTCTGATGCATTGGAATACATGAAAATGAAACGTATTCATTCGTTCATTCATTCATTTATATTTTTAAATTTTGAGATGGAGTCTCACTATGTTACCCAAGCTGTCTTAAACTCTTGGACTCAAGTGACCATCCTGCCTCAGCCTCTCGAATAGTTGAGGCTACAGGCTATACCATGGTGCTGGCATAAACATTTGTATTTTGAAAGAATTACCTTTCTTCTGTTGTATATTCCTGATGAGATTTCCAGATTAGTTTTGAGAATAAATCTCTAAAATGCCTAACAAGGATATAGAAATTTTTGTCTTTTAAATGTTTTCATTATGAGGAACAAAGGGAAAAATATTCAGTATCATTTAATATAATAGTTTGTATACAAAGCAGACTTTCCTCTTTTGCTCATGTTTTAATGTGATTCTGTAACTAAGATTGCATAAATGACTTGCCACGATGTTAGTGAAAAAAAAATCAAGATTCAGGAGAGTAATTCATTGAAAAGAAATACGGTCTTCTAGTAGTTGTAATAAGTGGAAGTGCCAGAATGGAATGCAACTTAGCCTTAGGTTGGTTTTAGTCTCAAACTTAATATTCTGGCCTCCCTAGCAAGAAACAATGAAGGTATGTATGTATGTATGTATGTTATTTTTCATATTTCTTAGGAAGAATTTTTTAGAAATGGTCAGGGTCTTATGGTGAGGACTTCAGGGTACCTGGCTTTATTTCTGCCTAACAATACACCACCTACCAGAAATACTAAAGCTAACATCATTCAATTGTAGCCACCTCCACAGGTCTCATTGGTTCATTTTAAAAACACGGACTTCAGTAAGATCTTTCAATAAGGCATTATCATTTAATTTTCCAAAGTAACCAGTTTTTAAAACAAAATTGCTTGAAACATTCAGAAGTAGAAAACTATACAGTACTTTGTAGTAAAGGAATGTACAATTCTAAACTATTTTGTGATGAGTAGAGGAAATTCTAGATAAATCTGAAGCTCTTTTAAAAAGCCAGTACAGATAATTTTTTATATTTTAAATATGTACTTAAAAATATATTTTGTAGAGCTGGCCAGATAGCTCAGTAGACTAAAACACCTGCTTAGGCAGAGTGCAGTGGTTGGGGTTCGATCCCTGTTGTGCTATGCTGGCCCACCCCTGCGCTGAGCTGGCAATTGAGGCTGGGGCATGGTGGTGCCCACCTGTAATCACAGTGCTTGGGAGCCTGAAAACAGGAGGATCGCTGAGTCTGATCTACGTAGTCAGACCCTGTACCAAATGCAAAATATATATATATATATGTATATATATATAGTATATTTGTATATAGATATAAATATATATAGATATAGTAAGGAAAAGATTTTATATTTACATGTCTGTAGTTTATTTAGGAGTTGATTGGGTAACTGAGAAAGGGAATTTTATGAAACCTTTTTATATGTTTCACAAAGTGTCCTTCTTCATAGTTTCATTTATTCTAACTGAACTGAAACTTTATGTCATAGGCCCTTGATCTGATCCTTGACATATTTCCAGATATGTTCTACTAGGAGCAAGTATAGGGTGATCTTTTGTGTGTGTGTGCGCGCACGCGCAGGCTCTCACTACACAGCCCAGACTCATAGTGATCCTCCTGATTTCTGCCTCCCTAGTGCTTTGATTACAGGCATGCGCCACCATGCCCAGACTCCATCACTGGCTCAGTTTGCCCAGGGGCAGGGCCAGCGCAGCATGCGGAGCCAGGGATAGAACCCTGGAGGGTAATGTTCTTTAAGAATGAGTTGGGGAAGAAAAAAAAAAAGAATGAGTTGGGGAATGAGGGACACTTTATAAAACCTCAATGGGCTGGCCAGATAGCTCAGCGGATTAAAGCACCTGCTTAGGCAGAGAGCAAGGCCAGGGTTCGATCCCTAGAGTGCCATGCCAGTCCCGTCCCTAGGGCACACTGAGACAGTGATTGAGACTGGGCGTGGTGGTGTGCACCTGTAATCCCAGCACTTGCGGGGCTGAAAACAGGAGGATCATTAGCAAGTCGGATATATGTAGTGGGACCTTGTAGACCCTGTACCAGCTACATTAAAAAAACAAAAACAAAAACAAACAAACAAAAAAAACCTCAACCAAGTTCTCATTTCATAACTCCAGACAAAAATGTCAGGTTTATGTTTCTTTAGTTTTTTGCTGTGCAAACATGGTATACTGTTTTTGTGCTTTATGTAGAAGATAGCCAGTGCTAGAGCTGATTGTATAAATCTTAGCATATTCTTAGAAAGCTATGTTGCCCTTTATTTCTGATCTGTTTTCTTCAATAAATTGGATGATCATCTAACCAGTTAAAGTTAAGAAGAATGATACCTCTAATCTTAACATTTTAACTAATATAAAAATGTCATAGGCTGTTATCATATATTAGTGGCATGTAATTATCCAAATAGGAAAAATTTATCATGAGTGAATGAAAGGAGCTAAACCCAATTTAAATACATCTTTGATTAAATGGTCAAGTAAAAAATATGTTATGTGAAGTTCTTCCCCTGGTCTCTATAAAGGAATACATATAGAAGATTAACATGAAATTCCATGAATCCAGACCAGATTTACTACAATTGGCAAATGAAGAGACAACAATGAAAGACAAAAACTCCTGTGATCTTGAGAAAAGACATTTATTCAACATCTCCAACTCTGAACACAAATTTTTATTCTCATATTTTAAATTACTATCAAGATAATGAATCTTTCTACAAAACAGCAACAGTATCTAGAAAAAAAAAACAAGTTTACAGTATCTAGAATTGTTTCTCTGACAAGAATGTCAAATTTTTGAAAGTACACTCAAATTATTTTCCTGAATAAGATCATTATAATTGTAGGCTCAAGTAAAAAATCACTATTTCTTAGATTGTAAAATAAGCAATTCTGATACTGTCATTACAATGTAAGGGTTTTTGTCTTATTTGAGACAGGGTCTCACTATGTAGTTCAGGCTGGCCTTGAACTCACTTATGTAACCCAGGCTGGCCTTAAACGCAGAGTAATCCTGCTGCCTCAGCCTCCATAGTGCTGGGATTACAGGTGTGTGCCACCATATCCAACTCCAAAGTCTTGAAACTGTTATACATTAACCAGAATGAAATCCATTCAAATAAATGATTTAAAGGTGTCCAGAGTATCTTATCAAGAACTGCTAAGACATTCTGTCCTGTCACTGAATCATAGGCAAGTTTATGCAGAACTTTGACTCTTATAGCAGTTACCTAAAAACAAGCTCAGATAAGGCAGATCAAACCTAAAAAATAAGCAATGGCCCAAGAAATGTAGATTGCATGAAATTGCCTTGCAAAATCTTGGGTGCCAGTAGTTTATCCAACTCCAGTGAACATACAATGTCTTTGTGGACATGCACTACCCACTGAAGAGTTTTTTTTTTTCAGTGTAGGCTTTTTGCCAGCATGTTGAAGCTCAGTTCCAACAATAGGAATGTGTTTCCACATGTGACACTTGTACCTTCTAGTTGTGTTGGCAATTAAAGTTGAGCTGATTGTTCTTTAGAAGTAAGCATTACCAGATCAAGGTTAATTATGTGTCTATAGTTGGGGCTCAGATATCTGTTTGCTGAGATGTCTCCTCATCCTTGCAGATGAGACAATTATAAGGGCATCTAACATATTTCTTCCCTGTGGGGGTTTTTTGATTGGTATTGTTTCATTACAAACTGTACATTTATCTACACATTGGTGAAGTTTGCTATTTAATTAGAGACTGGCACACGTCAGTTGATTATGAGAGTAACAGCAGCATCTGGACTGGCAGTGGCTATATACAAAGGTGGAAGTGACATTTCTCAAGTGAGTTACTGATAGCAAAGACTAGCATTTATCCACCCCATCAGAGGCCATATCTACATTGAGGCCAGAGGAAGTGGGCCAGGTGCTGCATCAGTGGAGGTGGAAGCCAGCACTACCAGTCAGGACACTTGATTCACATCATACAGAACTTCAGCCACTGTCTACCCTGCATGACTTCACTCAGGGTCAGACCCCTCTGGAATGCTGGGGAGCTTGCTTCACTTGCATTTTTTCTCTCACTTTCTGATATAAGACGTATGCTATTATAATTTGTAAGTACCAGGAGGGCACCAATGACATTAGATTGTCACAGTACTAAAAATAGTCCAGCAGGTTTTTAGAAGAATGTTGAGAATTATCCTTATTTTAATTATTGTTAAAAGTAATTTAGCATTTCTTCCACAGGCCTCAGTAACCTCTCAGAAGCTGGGCCTTGGAGCTAAGCTGGGTGAAGTAGTCACCACCTGGAATCTAGTTGCCACTGTTCTGGCTGCTGCCTGTGGGTACCATGCACAGAGAGGATGTGACACTCTCAATTTCAAAATGTAAAACTTTGAAGGAAATGGAATTAACTTAAACTTTTGGGATAGACTGTTACTACCACAACTGAAATGCCCAAATAGAGTGGATACCTGTGTAGTCAACTCTGCAGTTTATGTTGTTTATGAGTTGATGGAAAAGCTGAAGCAGCTGTGGTCTGGAAATAGAATATATATTAGCCTCCATGCTAGTAGTTTGATTTTTCAGCTTTGCTGCCTGTTACAAACATGGTGCCTTGTGGATGCCAGGACAGAAGTCTGTTGAAGTGAATACTGTGGTGATCCTGTGGTTCAACTACACCCATGTGGTCATACCTCATTTATCTTACACAGTGATCATCCTCCTCAAGTCCTAGATTCTGTGGTACCCACTGAAAACATTGATTTATATGAAGTGGAGAATTAAGAGTGGTTCACACCAGAATGGCTGATTGTTGAGCATCTCACTGAAGATAAGTACAGAAAACAGGCAGCTAGTGCTCTGGAAGACCTGTGCTAGGCCTTCTGCTGACCTGACCCCAACCTGGCTGGCCATCTCCAAACTCAAGGCTCCTAAAAACTTTTCAGACTTTGTTCTTGCAGCAGGAAAGCTACTTGTTGCCTAGGAAGTCAGTCTGCATGAAGAGCAATATGGCCAGCAGTTTTGTTTTTGTTCGGTACATGTTTATATTTTTGTGGTGAGTTGATACATACACATAACATATCTTAAATAAATTTTGTCTTCGTTCCTCCATTCCCTTTCCACTTCCCTCTAAGCCCCCCGCCCCTGTCTGTTTGACACTCACTATGCAGTTCAGACTGGCCTTGAGCTCACTTTGTAACCCAGGCTAACCTGGAGTTTGCAGTGATCCTCCTGCCTCAGCCTCCCAAGGGCTGGGATTACAGGCATGTAACACCATACTTGGCTCTGCCCTCCATCTCCTGATCCCCTTCTTTGAGAAAGATTTATTTCATTACTTGCTATTATCTTTTATTTTATTCCTTATTTATACTTTGGTTTCTCATATAAGAGAAACTATGCTTTTTACCCACAGCATGACAATTTCCCTGTGAGTTGACCTCATTCTAGAGAAGGAATTAAGTAAGGATAAGGATACTGTTAAACTGTGCAGAACTGTTTTAATGAAGAATGGAAGAAGCATGTGCCATGGAGAAAAACAAGCCATGTGGAAAGGAAAATAGTCTATATTGAAAGGGAGCTTACTATTCTTGGCAAATTCTGCTACCTATTGTACTATAAGTGAGCACCAACATTCTGTGACACTCATTTACACTTGCCATAAATAAAGACTTTCATTAGGAACAAGGGAATCATTGCTCTTCAAGGAACCAGTAAGCATGACAGGTATCTTGTCAATGCCAAAGCATTAAACCCTCTCTTAATCCCCTGAACCTGTCACAAGACCACATTATTCTCCCTGTATTTCATCACTATCAATGCTGAATGAGACCTGAGATGTGCTGTGCTAGTGTTTCACAAAGTATAATTCACAGAATAAAAAATATTAGGGATTCTGTGGTGAACCAAGATTGATACAAAGTTAGACCAGTGTACTGCAGATATCAGAGTAATGCTCATATGCATAGTGAATCTCCTAAAAGGGAGAAATTGTGCAATATTCTACTTACTTTGACTATAGAACTTTCTAAAAATGAGATTAATACTCCTTGGAACACATGATTAGGAAATGGCTAATAAATGGTATAATTGAAATGTGGGAGTTAAATAACTTGTTCAAGACCACAAAGCTATCCAGATAAACTAAATCTATGTTCTGGTTGTTGTTGTTCTTGTTCTGTACTGTTCAGGTCGGCCTTGAACTCACTATGTAGTGTAGGTTGGCTATTAGCTCTCAGTGATCCTTCTACCTCAGCCTTCTGAGTGCTGGATTTACAGGCATGCCACCACGCCCAGTTTCCTTGTTTCTTGACTCATGATAAGCTCCAAAGTGAAATAAGTAAATGAGCTTTGACCTGGAGGAAGGGCGATTGAAATATAGGTCTGAGGTTTGAACACAGCAGAACAGTCTATGGGTTAAAATATTGCAGAATTGATTCTTTGAGAATCCAACTTGAATTTTTTTATGATGAGATCATAAAGAATGAGGAATTCCTTTTACTAAGAAAAGTGTAATAGGGAAAGGACTTATGTTTACTTCCTAAGCCAAAATTATTAGAGAATTTCTAAGTTGTTAGAGTATAGCTACATATTGGGATTGCTAGATCAGTTTTCAGATACTATTTATTCTTTGTAGAAACATCTGAGCATTTATAGGTCTGCATTTGCCAGACATCTTTTAATATTAGAAATCTTGCTTTTTTAAAAGAAAGTTCACTAAGTTCAATTGGTGCCTTTATGTAGATTGATTTTAATTAAAGTATATCTGTCATTCATTTTTATGATCATGATTATTTTATAGGTGTAATCAGTTCTGCTATCAGTTTTTTAGTTTAATCTCACTTTTCTATAGTTATATTTATTTGTTATATATGTGTATCAGATATATCAGTGCTTATGCTTACCCAGATCACCTCTCAAGAGAGTTTTTTGTGTTGTACAGTCTGTGAGTGTAGCCATGAACATCTGCTAAAAGGACACGTCTCCACATAGCTCACAAGCCAGTGTGACCACACAGTAAAAACAGTTCACAAAAGAGAAAAGAACAACTCTTCCAGGATATTGCTTTTTATGTTTGTTTTTAGAGGAAATCATGGATTTGCCCATTTCTGTTACATGAATACTGGGAGAAGCTAAACAAAAGCATTACCAGGAAAAATAATTTTTAAACTAGACCTTAAGATGACCTCTACTTTAGTTCTGCCTGTTAACGTCTGTAGATAATTTAGAAAACTATGTGAATTCTCTGGGCTTGATTTATCTATATGTAAAAAATGAAGGTTTTTCTGATTTTTCCTTTTTATCTTCTAGAAATTTAATGATAAACAGTTCTAGGTTGTATGCTATAAGGCATAAATCAAACTGACTTGGTTTTTCCCTTTACCAAGGGAAAATACTAATATATTTATCATTCTCTAGAATCAAGTAACACTAATTACATACTTGTTGCATTAGTAGAGCTTCAGTTTTGAAAATTTCTGATTTAAAATCAACACAAAAGTATAAGACTTTTACACCAAATAAGATATGTACATCCATATTAACCATGTTCAGATAAAGAATTAGATACAGAGAAATAAAAGATTTCATTTTATTCATCAAGTATTATCTGTGATGAGATGCTATAATTAATAACTTATTATTTTGTATCAATATAGGTGAAGAAAACTGGTCTTGTGGTCGTGAAAAACATGAAAATTGTTGGTCTCCATTGTTCTAGTGAAGAGTTACATGCTGGGCAAATTGCACTTATTAAACATGGGTCAAGGCTGAAAAACTGTGATCTTTATTTTTCCAGAAAACCATGTTCTGCTTGTTTGAAAATGATTGTAAATGGTAAGTGCAGATAAGGCTTTGTTGGGGATTAAGAGCTTTTACTGAGAATAAATGGGAACATCTGGTCTAAATAACAGAGACATGATTTGGAAATATAAATACATGTCTGAAGACATTTGGCACTTCATGAGAAGAAGAGTTAGAAAACATGGTCTCAGACTCTGGTCTTAAATTCTGCCTACTAATTACCTAAGTGACCCTCAGTGAATTACTGTACTAAAGCTAGTCACTATCTCAAAGAAATCCCAGAATTTCAGAGGCTTAATACAGTAAACATCACCCCCCCTAATAGTCTATTACATGTGCTGCTGAGCAGCAGGCAGCTTTTCTCCATGTGACTGAGTCCTGCCCAGGCATCTTCTATCTTACTGCTGTTGTCATCCTTGCATCCTTGCTTGAATCCTCTGCATTCAGAAGGATCCTGAGAAAGAACAGAGACAGCATACCTTCTTAAAAACTTTGACCTGGGGTGCTGGGGATATAGCTCAAGTGATAGGGTACTTGTGTGGCACATGTGAGACCCTGGGTTTGATCTTCAGTGCCACAGGAAAAAAAATCCAACAAAATCCAGCCTGGAAGTCACATATCATTTTTATTTATTTCCATTGTGAAAACTATAAACCCTGGTTGGATGTCTGTCTCCCAATGACCACTGTATTATTTGAAAAGAAACACAATTTTTATTGTGTAACCATCCCCTCTGCCACACCAGTGTACTCACTATGCCTGTGCTTATGATTCTGTTTTGCAACCAGGTAAGTATGCAGAGCAGTCTATGACTAAAATGTGTATCATAGGGGGCCAGCCAAATAGCTCAGCGGATTAAAGTGCCTGTAAGCAGGCTCAGGGGCCAGGGGTTTGATCCCTGGGCCTGCCTGGCCAGCCCTGCCCCTGGGGCACCCTGAGATGGTAATCAAGACTGGGCATGGTGGTGTGTGCCTATAATCCCAGCTCTTGGGAGGCTGTAAACAGAAGGATCACGACAAGTCCGATCTAGTAGTGAGACCCTGAACACCCTGTAGACCCTGACCTAAAAAAAAAAAAAAAAAAAAAAAAAAAAGTATCATATATAGACAGTATGGTGGCTCAAGAAAAAACCCAAAAAGAAAAAGCTCACATGGTTCCTAGCTCATGTTACTTGGAAGCAAAAGCAACTTAGTGAACACATTGAGTACCGAATAAGTGATGTAGGCTGTAAGTGATATAAGCTTTCTAAGAACATTAAAATTGATTCTGCAGGTTGTTGTATTACAAAAAGATGTCATGTTACAAAAGCTGGATCTTAAAGTTTCTGGCATATAGGAGGAGGAGTTATTGCTTGTCAGGAGGCAAAGCACATCTAGAATCATCCAGTTGTAAGGAATAAGGTTTAGTATTTGAAATGGAAGATTATTCTTAGTAAAAACAGATGGATTGTAACAATAAATTGGGGATTTAGTAGAGATCTCTGAAAATCTGTATGGCCTCTGGGCTTTATCTTATGAAACTGAGTTCCTAGACATTTTTTTCAGAAGAGCTATTTTTTATTTATATCTAAGTCTTACAAGTATTTATCACATTTGTATTGAGGTTCATGTGTTGAGCTACATATAAAACTTCAGGAGGAAGAGTTATGCCATAGAAGCTTCCTGCCCTGCAAAAAAACATTTCAAGCAGATACATATCTATGATAGTGACTTGATTCTGTAATTCCTAACAGATAAAATATCACAGTAGTGGCATATTATTTTTTCTTTTTCCCAATTTACCAGGTAGACTGGGCAGTCACATGTGTTCAGTGGACTTTCAAGTGCTATTACAGATAATATAGAGCCAATATAGAGATTTTTGACTAGGATGTAAGATTTTTTGCTGTTGTTACTGAGCTGGCACAGGAGAAACTTAGAAGTTGAGAGCTTGAGAGTTATTGTATTAGTCAGGGTATAAAATAGGATTCAGATTGATATAGAAAGGAAAGAATGTGAAATAACCAAAACAAAGAAGAGGAATGGATAAAAAATGGCTGTGTCTTACCCTAAGTTGCCCATGTTGAAGTATCTTAATCACCTTACAGCTAAGAATTAAAGTAGGGAATTTAGGTCACACTACTGCTTGGTATCTGTAAAGCATTTCATCCTAGCAAGAGAGGAAGTCAGGAAGATCAGGAAAGACCTAAAGTAGAATTGTATTTATGTTGTTGCTAGACCTATATGTAAATAAAATTGCCCTGTTATTTTAGGCTTATGTATTGTTTAGCTAAGTTGGGAAGAGGGTATAACTGAACCATGCTGTAGCTGAATTACTTGAGTTATAATCACTATTACCTCAGTTAACCAAAGCAAAAATTTCCTAGCACAGTAGTTCTCAAAGTATGTACTCCTGAGGGTTCATGCAGTAAACACTATTTTTGCTACAGTCATAGTAATGGTAACAAGACAATGATGAAGGGCTGCCCAAATAGCTCAAAGGATTAAAGTGCCCACAACCAGGCACAGGGACTATGGGTTTGATCCCTGAGCCTGCCATGCCAGCCCCCCCCCCTGGGGGGGGGCATGCAGAGCTGGCAATTGAGACTGGGCGTGGTGGCATGTACCTGTAATTCCAGCTCTTGGGTGGCTATAAGCAGGCAGATCACTATGAGTCCAATCTAGTAGTGAGACCCTGACAACCCTGTAGACCCTTTCCTAAAATGCAAAAAAGACAATGATGAGTAGACCACCAGAGCTGCAACATGAAACAAAGCAGTGGTACCAAACTACTGGCAGTCACTGTGCTCTGCACAGCACTTGGAGTAAAAAAAGAACAACAAAACAGTTTCATGTAAAAATGTCCTGGATGAAATAGTAAATCCTAATTCTTCAGTGTACATCTTTTGTTTTGTTTTGTTGAGACAGAATCTCACTATGAAATTCAGTCTGACCTGAGCTCACTATTTAGTCCATGTTGGAATAAACTGTCATGATTTAGATATTTGGTAGATATTCCCTCAGAAATGAAGGGGGCCTCTCATTTTCAGGAAAATAATTGGCAGTAGTTATTATTAGTGATAAAATTGGAGCTTTTAGAGAAAATATTGGAATATCTGAAAATCATTATGAGCTTGACAGCTTCCCAGTATTCTTTTTGTGAGATTGGTGGTGATATCAATGAATGGTGTTTTTTTTATACTGTAAAATCAGTGCATCATTGTTTTTCAAATGACCAATACATTATGCTACAATATTATGTGTGAGTTAAAAGAGCCATTTTAAATGTAAGACAAACCAGGGGACTTAAGCATTGCAGTACAACAAATTTGTTGATAGGGTTTCAGATTTCATATTGTAACCTGTAAGAAACTATCCTTTGCTGAATGCACAGTGTCAAAGAAGAATATTCACTATTATCTGTTCATATACTTTTCAGCTACACACCCATATGATCCAAAATACCTTTCAAATATGTCAGTGAAAACAACCTATTTCAGTAGATTTGAAAACAGAAGCAAATTTGAGAAATCTGTTCTTTTCTATTAAGCCAGTTATTAAAGCTATCTGTGAAAATGTAAAACAAAGCCATTCTTTCTTTTTTTGGGGAATAATTTCTTTTCATAAAGCTAAGTTTATATTACTGTAAAATTGGCTCCTTAATGTTATTTCAAATGATTAAATATTTTAACATTTTGTTTTAATTTTATACTGCAGTAAAATCAGCAGATATACTATACATGAAAGATATTTGTTGTCCCCAATAATTTTGAATTTAATAGTATAGGGCTTGTATGTACCTAAGTGGTAGAGCACTTGCTAAGCATGTCTTGAGTTCCATCCAAGCACTACAAAAGCAAAACCAAAGCAGTGTCTTTAGAAAAAAAGTAAACATATAAAAGAATCAAGATCAAAAACATCTTGGCACCTCTGCTGTAGCATTTGCCTTTTTTCTTGGATCAGGATTATTGGGAACAACTAAGATGCTTAGATAAAATGTTTACCATCACTACTGGTTAGAAATTAGAGAACTCAGCAGACAAAGGGAAACTCCACAGCCAGGCAATGCCTCACCTGAACTATGAGGCCTTCAAATCTACTTTGCAGCCCAACCTCAGTGAGTCACAAGTAGCAGGAAGTATAGGGAAATATGTATTTTTTTACCCTCGAAATTTAGTTCATATATTACAAGGGTGAGACACCCTGTGGTCTGTCTGTTTGTTCATTTCAGAGCATGATAATAAAGTTAAGGTGAAATTGCATGAAATCTAACAAAAAAATCTCTGTTGTAAACTAATTCAAAAATACCTGGATATTTATGTATAAGACATGTTTATTGTTGAGACTCCAATACTAATTAAAATATTTTTTCACTTATATTTCTCTTTTGACTTGTCTGTTCATACCTTTTTATCTTTCTTAAGGCATTATTGTTCAATTTTTATGTGTTAATGAATTAAAGTATTTTCTGTACATTAAAGATTACCAACTTTTCCTCTGTCACATTTATTGAAAAAAGTTTCTTGTTTTGTCTTTATTGTTGTAGGCTTCTAAAAAATAGTATTTAGCTGGGCATGGTGACCATAAACCTATAACCCTAGCACTCTTGTGTGCTAAGGCAGAAACTTGCAAATTTGAGCCCAGGATGGGCAACCTAGTGAGATCCTGTTTCAGAATAAGAAAGAAAGAGAGAAAGTGGGGGGGAAGGGAGGGAGGTAGGAAGGAAGGAAGGAAGGAAGGAAGGAAGGAAGGAAGGAAGGAAGGAAGACAAGAGAGACAGACACAAAGACAGAAAGAAAGAGCAAGCAGGAGGGCGGGCTAGGGGTGTAATGGCACAAAGGGCCTGGAGTAAATTCCCACTACTACGAAAAATAAAATAATAGTATTGCTCTGTCACAATGATTTCAGCCTCACATAACAATTTTTCATTTTGTGATTTCTTTGTAGACAGTTTTGATAAGTATAGAAGTATAATAATTTGTTTAGTAATTCCCCTGTTGGTCAGCTAGCTTTTTTAAAAAATAAAGAATACAGACTAGCTAGGCATAGTGATATACTCCAGTATTACCATGACTTTGGGAGTCAGAGGCAGGAGGATTGCAAGTTCATGCCCAGTGTGAGCAACTTGATGACTTAATAAGACCCTGTCTCAAATTTTTATTTTTTATTTTTTAAAGATCATGGGATTTAACTCAGTGGGAAGACCCTAGGTTCAATTCCCAGTCCCAACAGAGCAAAATCCTCAAGAATGTTAAAAAAAAAATTAAAAAATTATATATGAGTGTGTGTGTGTGTGTGTGTGTGTGTGTGTGTGTGTGTGGTGTGTGTGATTTTTCCCTCTCACTGTAGAATATTTCTTGGAATGGCTTTCTAGAAATATTTTGAGTTACAGACAGGAACATTTTTAATCCAAAGATGAATTATTACTTCAAAACTTTCTATCAAGTGTTGACTAACAATCTAACAGCAGCCATGGTGCCATGAAAGATACTGGTATACAGTTTTAATGCTAGGCTTTGGGACTACACATAAGGTCAGCGATTTCACAAATGCCTTCCCAGAGGTTGGTTAACTTTCTTTCTTTTTTTTTTTTAATAGCACATGGTTTCTTTTATTTATTTATTTATTTATTTATTTATTTATTTATTTATTTTTTTTTTTGGTGGAACCGGGGGATTGAAATCAGGCCCTTGCGCTTGCCAGGGAAGCGCTTATTCCACTGAGCCATCTCCCTCCCCCCCCCCTTAACTTTCTTGAAAAGGTCAGACAGTAAACATTTTAGGTTTTGCAGAACATAAAGTGGCTATGGGACCTATTCATATCTGCCATGCAAAGGTAGCTAAAGACTATGAAATTAGCCAGGCCTAGTGATGCATGCCTGTGATCCTGGGACTCTGGAGGCTGAAGCAGGAGGATCACTGTAAGTTCAAGTCAAACCTGGGCCATATAATGAGTTCAAGGCTAGCTTGTACTACATAGCAAGACCAGGCCTCAATAGGACTGACTGAATGGATGTGTCTGTGTTCTAATAAAACTTTATTTATGGACACTGAAGTTTGAATTTTTCATAATTTCAGGTGCAATGAGATATTTGTTGTTGTTGTTTTTCTAATTAATGAAAAATGGCGGGTTGGGGATATACTTTAGCCAGAGCACTTGCTTGACCTCCATGAGGCCCTAGGTTCAAGCCTCAGCACCACCAAAGTAAAACAATCCATTTTTGTTTGTTTGTTTTTGCATTACTGGGGAGCAATCCATTTTTGACCCAGGAGCTGTGCAAAAACTGGCAGTGGTCTGGGTTTGGCCCTATTGGTAGTTACTTAATTGTTAGATTGTATATGTGAGTTGATATTAGATGTTTCTTGTATTGGGGCCTCAATAACAGTAACAGTTATAACAGTAGGGTAGATTTATCAAGAAAACTAACATTACCTTTTCTACTTTTTATTTCAGCTGGAGTTAACCGAATTTCATACTGGCCTGCTGATCCAGAAATAAGCTTGCTTACTGAGGGTTCTAGTTCTGAAGATGCAAAATTAGATGCCAAAGCAGTAGAGAGATTGAAGTCAAACAGCCGGGCCCATGTGTGTGTCTTACTCCAGCCTTTGGTGTGTGATATGGTGCAGTTTGTAGAGGAGACTTCTTATAAATGTGACTTTATTCAAAAAATTACAAAAACAGTGCCAGATGCTAACACTGACTTTTATTCTGAATGCAAACAAGAAAGAATAAAAGAATATGAAGTGGTATTTTTGGTTTCAAATGAAGAAATGCATAAGCAAATACTGATGACAATAGGTCTGGAGAACCTGTGTGAAAATCCATACTTTAGCAATTTAAGGGAAAATATGAAAGACGTTATCCTACTTTTGGCCACAGTAGCCTCCAGTGTGCCCAGCTTTAAACACTTCGGATTCTACTGTAGCAATCCAGAACAGATTAATGAAATTCACAATCAAAGTTTGCCACAAGAAATTGCAAGGCACTGCATGGTTCAGGCCAGGTTATTGGCTTATCGAACTGGTGAGTTAAGTGCTTAGTCATAAAGTGAGACTGATTTGTTGGGTTGTATTTGTCTCAAGTAAAGTGGTGTTTGTGTATGTAAAATTCATTTAAAGTTTTGCTGCTAATACAATGTAGAGAAATTAGTAAGACCTTGTGTAATAAACTTTCTTTGAGCAGTTTTGGGTTTCCTAGTGGCCTTATATTCACCACTACATTTATAATTTAGAGCCAGATTATCTGAGTACTTTCTGCTTCCATTTATGTACTTCACTCTTCATTGAGCATTCCATTAAAAAATGGGATGAAAAGAAAAGTGAAAACTACAGTCATTTATTTCTTATTAACTTCTTAATATTTTGTATGTGTTCAATAAAAATTTTTGGAAATCATAAAATTAAAAATACAAATACAAAATAATTGAATATCAAAGTAAATGCATGTATGCAGAGTTTTCCAATTGCTGGTATGTCTTGATTAGTAAGTTGAGAAATCAAATATTTTTATTATATTAATTTGTACATGTGGAAAAGGAAAATATGTGGGATTCTTTATTGTGTAAAATATTGTATCTATGTTCTAATTTTGGAACATTATTTTTATATCTTACTAGGTGTAATTTTTTTCAAAGTAGAATCAACACTTTTTAACATTCAACCTTGAATAAGTAGAAAAAAATACAGGAAAGAATCATAGAGTAAGACTGTTATCCCAAAAAAGGAGAGGAAGATCAGAAAATCTTCATAAAGGTGCCACTGGTCTATAAACAGACAACAAAAACCTTCGAAGTCAGTAGACTGGAAGATCTCAACTGACAGGATCAACATGGAAATTTTAAAAGATTTGCAGTTCCCTGCCCAGAGCTATTTCACTGTGCCCTAGGCCTATGGTTTTTTAAGAAGTCCTGAAAGGAATTATGACCTTCAGGAGGGTTGATAATCACTCAGTTCTGTAAAGAGATGACCCCAAAATAATTGTATATGAGCCTAATTTAATGAAACAGTTATTTTTACAGTATTAGGGAGTAGACCAATGGTTTTTACAATGAGCTACATCTCTAGCCAGCCCCTTTTTTATTTTTTATTTATTTTTATGTATCTTAGTATAGGATCTCACTTCATAGATCAGGCTTGTAGTGATCCTCCTGTTCTCAGCCTCCCAGGCACTGGGATTACAAGCATGCATCACCACCACCATGCCCAGTCTCAATTGCTGGCTCAGCACACTCCAGGGGCGGAGCTGGCACAGCACTCTGGGTATCAAACCCCAGCCACTGTGCTCTGCCTTAGCAGGCTCATTAGTCTGCTGAGCTATCTGTCCATCCCATTATTTTTTTATTTTGAGATAGGGTCTTGCTAAGTCAGTAACTTGCCTGGGCTGAGTTAGCACTTGTGATCCTTCCTCTTCCACTTTCCACACTGCTGGGATCACAGGTGTGTGCCACCATGTCCTGCTCAGGTTTTTGTATCATTATTCTCTTTGCTAATATCAGCTTTGCAAAGAAATTTTCTAAAAACCAGAAAAGTGATCAGCTCTTACAACTACAATTCCTTATTTGTCTTGTGATCAGAATTCAGCAGAGTTCTGCTTATGTTCCAGCATAAGATGAGAGATGTGCATCTGCTGTTTCACTTGAGCTCAGTAACTTGATGCTCAGGGAACATTTCATCTTACCATCTGTGATTCAGTGTTTAGATTGCAGCATATATAGAAAAAAGTTTGCATAAGTATGTCTGAGTAGATCTACTATGTAAATTTTGGATTATAAATTTATCCACTATTACTCTGCAGAGTTTTGTACATAAAGCTATGCTTATGCTCTTGATAGGCAATTGTAGAGATTTTCCAAAGGTTATTTTTTTGACAGTGGATGATTTTTATTTGTTTGTTTGTTTATTTATTTATTTAGCTTGGAACTCCAATCCTGAATAAGATGCAATCAACTATTTGTATTCTGCTCTACTCTGAGCTCTTCAAGGGAAGAAACTATGTCCTCCTAATCATCACTTTATTGTTTGTTTGTTTTTGTTTTTAGCACTAATCAGTCTGTATTTAATTTTGTCTTTTTGAGACAGGGTTTTGCTGTGCAGTTTAGGCTGGCCTTGAACTCATTTTGTACCTCAGGCTGGCCTTGAACTCACAGTAGTCCTGCCTCAGCATCTTGAGTGCTGAGATTACAGGTGTGCACTACAAAACCCAGCTAATCAGTGTGTGTTCAGTGGAAATCTATACCAAAAGAGAAATGGTCCATAATTCTTAATCTAAAATACATGAGGCCAAATGAAAAGGATTCAGAATTTTACCTTCTATTTTAAGAATTTTACTTTCTATTTAAGAAGGTAATATGATGCATAAACTATATAGTACTCCTAGTGAAGTTTAGGACAAAACCTATAATTAAATGAATTAGAACATATGGGGTAAAATGTGTAAATATTTGTGCTAAACAGAATGCTTAATAAATACACATTTTTCCTTTTTTTTTTTTTTTTTTTCCTGTTTTGGTGGTGCTAAGGATCAAACCCAGAGCCTTGTATGTTAATACAAGTGCTTTACCTCTGAGCTGTGTTCTCAGCTCCTCCACAATTTTAATGTCACCTGTATCATTTTTAAAATTCACTGTGTGAACTTAGGTTTATTTTGGATTTCCAGTCTTTTCCTTTGATCTTCTCTACTTCTAGGTAAAGCCCATGTCATTATAATTAGAGATAGTATTAAAGCTTTAATATGCCAGAAAGGGAATGTTATGAATAACAGTATGAGTTGGGATTGGCTGTAAATAAGTACACTAAACTATTGAAAAAAGTTGATACAAAGGATTCCAAATAGACTTTGGACTTGTAATTCTTTATTGATAATAAAAATAATGAATGATAATTAAATAATAAATGATAATTGGACACTTACTACAATACCATGCTCAGAGCTAGAATATATATATTCTATATATATTCTATATATATTCTAGCTCAGAGCTAGAATATATATATATAGTTTAACACTGGAAAACAGCCAGATGGATAGCCTATGATATAATGTGCTTCCAGTTACTCAGGTTTTTAATTTTACACTGCAGTAGTATCTTGGTACACACTGTTAATTGGTTTCTGGAGACCAACTAACAAACATTGTTTTAGCTGGAGTAGGCAGCCAGTCAAGAGAGATGCAACACTGACAACCGGAATCCAGAAGTTTTGATGCAAAGGGTCTGAGCAAACACTGTTGTGACCACAAGATGAGGGGCTAAAATAGTCCTGTGTGTGCTCTGGAACCATGGTCTATGACTTTCACTCACCAGAGAGCCCAGGAACTGGCTCTGATCAGAAGTGACCATAAGCAAAGTGACTTTTTTCTTTCAAGTTGTACAGAGAAAACCCAGTGAGTAACCAGATTATGGAGAGCATTTTGTAAGAATTACAGATATAAAAAGATTTTGAGAAATGACTTGCTATCAGACTTGGGGCTAAGGTGAAATTGATTCTATTTCATGTGGATAAAAAAGTATTTCATGTGGATAAAAAGAATATTCTCTTGATGTAGCTAACCTTTGCTAAGCAGTAAGATGTCTGCTGATGCACAAATCACATCCTGACAAGGTTTAGCTTGTCCCCCAAAAAACAGGAAAAGTGACTCCTGAGACTAAAATCATAATACAAAAAATGTTTAGGGTTGGTGTAGGAAAGGGGACTCAACATGAACAATTTATATTTTAGTTTTTCATTTGTCCCTTTCTGATTTAGACACATGTTGAGTACAAGATTACTAAGGTTTTGGTTTTGTAGGCAAATACAGTTTAATGTTTATAATTTTTGCCACTTGCCTTAGAAATTGAGTATAAAGCCATTGAAGTGTATTCTTTTCCCTGCACTTTAAATTCTAAAGGTCTAGGAAAGAATAAAACTTTTACACCAAAATCTCTTTTCCTCCACACTACAGAAGGCAGTTGTCGAGTATACCCTGCCCCTCAATATCTCTTTCAGCTTCAGAACATAGCCCACAAGTAATGTTTCTTTGTCATTGTTCTCCTGCCCCACCCAGGTTGGGGACTGATGTTTCCCTCACCACCAGATATACAGCTTCTCATAGTACTTGGCACACCTGGGGCACTGGGTGAATGCAAATCTTTATTATGGAATTCTAAATGTCAAAGGGACAGGAGGAGGAAGAGGAAGAGGAGGAGGAGGAGGAGGAAGAAGAAAGGCAAATAGAAAGGCAAAAAGGGCATAGGGGACTAAATCTTAATTTCTGTGTTTTCTTATGTAGAAATGAAAATTTTAGCCACTTTAAGTAAAAAATAGTATATGAATGCTTTGTAGTATAGTATTGAAAGTCTGACCATACTTGAATGGGAGATGGAAAATTTCCTTACATTATCAGAACATTTTTTTTTTTTTTTTTTTGTCTTTCTGAAACAGGGTTTCACTATACAGTTCAGACTGGCCTTGAACTCACATTGAACTCACAATGACCCTCATATCTCAGCCTCCCAAATGCTAGGATTATAAGTATGTACCACCATGCCCAACAGAACTTTTAAAAAATTAACTTATTGATAGGTTTTTAATCCTAGTTTTTAAAACAATAGTGGCAAAAACTTTTACTAGAAAAATTTGTTTTTATATATGTTATCCTTTAATAGACTAATTTTTAGGAAATTGGAGGTAAAGGATAGTTTCACTTAATCCTTACCAGTATGAAAATGTCGTAGGGTAAGTTTACAGATAGAATGACTCTTCCTTTCTTTATGTAAATAGTAGAAAAGTTTACAGATGACTCTTCCTTTCTTTATGTAAATAGTAGAAAAAGTAGATCTTTAATAGGTAGAATTTTTATTTGTTTAAAAATTTTTCTGTTTCAGAATAATTGTTTTAAGAAGTATAGTCTTGTTGCAAACATTCTGGCTCTATGGAGACTAATCTTAGTCTAGAACTTCTGCCAGTTGATTTAGAAGCGAGCATGTTAGGAGACTAAGTGGCATTTTTTCCTTCTCACAAAGTTGAAGGTCATGGATAGGTCAGCATTTTATTCAAGTCAAAACTTCCTTCATGTACCTTTCAGCTATTGATGTAAAAGTATATAACACTTTATTTATATTAAAAGTTTGAACTTATTTCTTAGCAAGAACATTTCTATAAAATATATTTCTAAGATTAGAATATAAGAAATGATAGACAAATTTGATTGTTGCAAATGGTTATTAAACTAAATCGTTAGTTCAGAAATGTTTTAAGAAATTCAATTGCATCAGCTATTAGAAATACTTGTTTTAGATAGCCAGGCATGGTGGCATGCACTTCTAATCCTAGTATTTGAGAGACTGAGGCAAGAAGGTTGCTATGAGTTTGAGAACTACATAGTACTGTCTCAAAAGAAAAAAAACAACAAAAACCAAAATCCAAAGTAATCATTTGCAACTGACATGATAGTGGAAAATCAGTGAAGTTGTACTCAGTTCTGGTTACTACTTTGAATTTGTCTGACTGCCATTTAGTGGTCTTCACATGTACAGCATGAGTGACCCTATCTACTTATTTGGTTCCTAGCTCCTATATTCCATACTTAGAAGTATTTAAATCTTTCATGTAATGAATGAGGATATCAAGAATTGCTGCTACTTTTATAAAATATGTTTCAGTAAGTAGTGTGTTCTACATTTTGGGGAAAAATGCTTCTAAAACTAACTGATCATTCATTGATTTTTATACTCAGTTCAGTATCTTATTTTGCAGAGGATCATAAAACAGGAGTTGGAGCAGTCATTTGGGCAGAAGGGAAATCTGTAAGTATGAAAATAATTCTTTAAGTATTTAACCTGAATTTTGTTTAAATGTAATTAATTCTTCAATGCAGTGAATTTTTTTTTTTTTTTTTTTTTTGAAATGAGGTCTTGCTGTGTTGCCTAGGCTGGGGTGCAGATAAGTACAGTCAGGAGTATGCTAAAGGGGTATCCACAGCGCTAGATGACTGCTGTACCCTGCATCATTAGGGAGTGAGATGGTGACTGCTGCTAAGGTAATTAATCCTCCTGTGTGCACCTCCCAAGTAATTGGCACTACAGGTTCATGCTGCCAGGCCTAGCCATTCATTGTGCTGGTTTTTTTGTTTTTGTTTTGTGGAGCTGGGGATTGAACTCAGGCCTTTGTGCTTGCCAGGGAAGCACTTATCATTGTGCTGTTTTGAAGGATTTTTTTTTTTTAATTGCTCAGGATGCCTTAAGCTCATGTCTGGTAAGGCATGAGGATCTGGGGATTGAACCACAGAATCCTGAGCCTGACTGCTTTGCTTAAGCAGGTACTTAAACAACTGAACTAATGGGCAGGCCCCCACATTGTGCTTTTTTGGACTGTTAGAGTTTAATTTTTTTTATTGGTGCATTTGTTAAATTCTATAGACATTTGCTCATTTCTCCAACAGTTTGTTAGATAGATTCACCCATTTAGCAAACATTTATTAGACACCTATATGCACTGTGCCACGGTGAACATTAGAAATCTAAAGATCACACATTCTGCCTTTCATGGCCTCATATCTTATGAAAGAGAAGTAAAAGAAGGACTCATCTATAAGTGAAATTGTAATTAGTACTGTGAAAAGGTAGAAGAGGACCCCTGCTGTCCTTGGAAAATTGAGTGACATATTCTTGGCAGTGGTAGTGGGTTCCTAGTCTTGAAGAATGAGTAGGAGTTATCAGAGCAACTTAGGAAAATGAGAAGGATAATATTCTAAAGTAGAAAGTGAGAGAAAATATGGTAAATTACAGTGATGTAGCATACTGAGGTCTAGGGTCCTGTGTCCAGTAGAGTGGGCAAAAGTTGTACTGACCATGAAGGACATTGCAGAGCATGTAAAGAGTGGTCCATATCCTTTACGCAGTACACAACAGTGTACTGTCTCAGCCCTCACCAGTAGAAATTAAAGGCAAGCCACACACATGACTTTACATTTTCTAGGAGTGGTACTAAAGAAAATAGGTGTAGTAATATATAACTGACTAGAATATGAGCCTAAATTTTGCTTCAGAGCAAGTCTTTTGACTGTTTATTTCAGTGTGTTACAAGTTCTTCAAATTCAACCTTCCTAATAAATCAGGTAATCTCTTTTGCTAACCTGCTCCTTCAACAGTCACCGTCTCACTCTCTGATGCTGGACGATACAGGCAGTCGTCTATTGCTGTGGACCCTGCCTTCAGGATATTTCTTGATGTTACTTATCTGTATCCCAGCTGTTAACTCCTACCGGAGTCAGTTCCTCTGGCAGCAATTCTGTACTGGTCATTTGTGACACTCATCATAGTTAAAGCTGTGTCCAATGTCCAGACTCTTCACTGCTCCTGATAAACAGTTTGTGAAGACAGGATTCTGTTTTACAGCTGTATTATCAGCACCTCACACTGGTCTGGCCTTTGGTTTGTGCTTCTCTGAATGCTTAGCAGCTGGTTTAGGATCTGGTTCTTAACTTTGTGGAGAACTTGACATCAGGAGAGTGTGGTGGTACATTTCAGGCCAGCCTGTGCTGCATAGTGGTTTCAAGATCAGTTTGAACTATAAAGTGTGACTCTGTCTAATCAAAAAAAATAAGAAAACAGTGTAGGGAAGCTAGATGGTAAAGTGGGAAGACACATGGTCTTTAAAGAAAGCAACCTGGGCTTGAACCAGGCTATGTTCCTTAATAGCTTTGTGATCTTGAACAAATTAATCTCTCTTGGCCTCAGTTGCCTTATCTATAAAATGGGGATAATAATAGTGCCACTCTCTAAGTTACTTCAAGGATTGAATAAATAAAATAGTGCATATGGACTATATTGGAATATTTTTGCTGAATTCATGCACCTACAATATTTAAATGACAATGGAATACCCTTCTCTGACAAAACTAAACAAAAAGGGGGGATACAAATAAGCGACCATTTGGTATCTGTATATTCAAAATAGGATAGATATACAGCTGCATTCTCTTAATTCAATGAATAGAGAGATTTGTTCTAATAGTGTTTGTGGACAGGATATCATGTCTGCATCTTGAACAATGAATAACCACTAAGACAACAATATACAATGCATTAATTATTGAAACTGTGCTAGTAATTGGTTTTGAAACTGTCTCATTGCTATTTATTTCTTAATAAAATTATTTAAAAATGAATTATATAATAATGCATATGAACTTAGCATGATGTTTCACATTTGGTGAGTGCTAAAGAAAAGTTTATTAATGCAATAATATTTTACTCAAAAGTTTTGTTGGCAAATCACACAATTTTTTATTTAACACATTAAGTTATTACACTAATGAGTCTGTTGATATCAAACAGTTATACTTTATCATTTATAAAATGTCATCCTAATAGTTGATAATGCATTTATATTAATAATACATCATTAATAAAGAGAAGTAACAGAGCTACTGAAGTAAAAAGTTTTATGTATATAAATGTATGGCTCAATAAATATTGAAGAGTAAGGGAAAGTTTGTTTTTATTTTCTGACTGGATCATAATAGCATGTTTTCAGCTCAATAGCAAAGATTATCCAAGGGTCAGCCAGGCCTGCTGTGCCAGCCCCACTGGGTGTGGTGGCGCACGCCTGTAATCTAGCATTTGGGAGTCTGAAAACAGAGTATCGCTACAAGTCTGATCTGTGTAGTGAGACCCTGTAGACTCTGCACTAAATACAAAACAAACAAAGAATATCGAGATATTTTAAATTTTTCTGACTTGTTAACCAGTAGCCATCACTGAATATAAGAAATTAGCAGTCACTAAGTACATGCTATGTATATCAGTCTAGCATGTGACTTAAAGGGATAGAAAAAAGTATAAAATATTGTTTCTATTCTCTACAATTTTATAACCTATATGAAGAGAAATTAGGTAAGCAAATTTGTGAGTTAAGAAAGATAGTAATTTGATTAACTGCTAAAACTAAAGATAGCCTGGAAATTATAGAGAGTTGATTAGCTTCCTTAGAAATAAGATCTGACAAAGTGTCTCACTTTTCTAATTGTAGACAAAATACCGATGGCCAAAGTTAAGGGAGAAAAGGTTTATTTAGCTCACAGTTTGTAGAGGTTTTAGTCCATATCCAGCTGGGCCCAAGGCAGAGTGACTTGGCAGAGGGGCATTGCAAAGGAGAAACAGTTCATGGCAGCAGAAGATAGCAAAAGTAACGGGAGAAATAGGCAAACCTTTTCTGTCCCTTATGTTATATGCAGGCTACCTGCCCTCGGATGGGTATAGAACTCACACCCTTTATCCCAGCACTGGACTATGATTCAATCATAAACTCTAGATTCAGCCACCTCTGAAACCCCCTTCCTATGCCTGCATGAGGCTTTGCAGGGAGAACTAGACATAAACTATAACACAAGGCCACACTGCAGTACAAGGATCTAGTATTATATTTTTTGATGGTTCAGTTTGTCATAGGAATAGAATCAATATTCATTATACAAATTATGACAGCAAGATTAAAAATACATTGCACCCAGGCATGGAGGCATTCACTTATATCCCAGCTACTTGGGAGACTGAGGCAGGAGGATCACAAGTTTCAGATGAGCCTTAGTTTGAGAAGAAACAATTTAGTGAGACCCTGTTTCAAGATTAAAAAGAAAAAGTGGGGAGAAGCTAGGGATATAACTTGGTAGAATACTTGCCTAGCATATATAAGTTCATGTTCACTCCCAGCACCACCCTTTGCCCCTAAAAACTATGAAGTGCTTTTCAGAGTATTGACACTAACTGTAGTGGTCTGCTCACTTTTGTAGAGAAGTTGTGATGGAACCGGTGCTATGTACTTCATAGGATGTGGCTACAATGCCTTTCCTGTCGGATCTGAGTATGCGGACTTCCCTCATATGGATGATAAGCAGAAAGACAGAGAAATAAGGAAGTTCAGATACATTGTACATGCAGAACAGAATGCCTTGACATTTAGGTATGGTTTTTATATATATTTTCTTCAAGATGTAGCAAAGGTTAGTTGAAATTAGTTTTCTTGTTGTTGTAATTTATTTCCTTTTTTCAAACTCCAAGAAATACTGTTTTCAGAAGTATAATTTTGGCAAAATTTGGATCTGAGGCCATTGTCACAGCTTCTCTAAGGTCTTTTAACACATTGAGCAAAGCTTTTTATTTTTCTTCCTTCTCTCTCCAATATGAAATTACTGAAAGATTTTCCATAGGATCTTCTTCATTCTCTCATACATTTGGAAGTTAATATTACCTTCCTTTTCTAAATCTAGAGCACATGTATTTATGAATATCAGGTTTTATTATGAATCAAATTGCTTCAAAAGAGCTTTTGTTATAACTGGTAGTACCTCCTACTAATACTAATTTAGGTCACTTCTCAGCATGTACCATTCAAAAGTGAGGTCAGAGGATTAAAAAACCAAGTAAAGGGCACCAGCCAAATAGATCAGCATATTAAAGCTCCTGCTTAGGCAGAGCACTGAGGCTGTGGTTAGAGGCTGTGGTTAGATGAAGCATGCTGTGCTGCCCCCGCCCTCCAGGGCAAGACAATGATTGAGACTGGGATTGGTGGAGTGAGCCTATAATCCCAGCTCTTTGGGAGGCTGAACAGAGGCGGATCACTAACAGTCGATCTGAGTCCAATCTACATAATGAGACCCTGAGACCCTATAGACCCTTACTTAAAAAAAAAAAAAAGTAAGACATGGCTTCTGTTCTTAGGGCCCTTCTGATACAATAAGGTCATAGATTGCATCTGCCTAACAAGTGTATTCTAAGGGAGAGGTGAGTACCACGTGCTGAGGACCTTCAGAGGTGCTGTGGCCAAAAGAGGGAATGTAAGGGAAAACTGTATGGAGAACTGGCATTTGAACTGAACTTTTTTTTTTCATTTTATTTATTTATTTATTAAGTGATATAGAATTTTACTTATAATAATATGAATTTCATGGTATTTGTTGTAATTCACAGTGTAGTCTTCCAACTAATTGTTCATATTAACAGGTATATGCATGCAAAATTGTACAATGAAAGAAATATATAAGAAATTAAGGGACTGGGGAAATGGCTCAGTGAAATAAGCGCTTCCCTGGCAAGTGCAAGGGCCTGAGCTCAATCCTCGGTTCCACCCAAAAAAAAAAAAAAAAGAAAAAAAAAAGAAATTAAGAAAAGAAAAAGCACAAACAATTGAAAAAAGGAGAAAAAACAAATTAAGCATCAATTGCTCCTTTCCGTAGTCCAGCAGAAATCCACAGTACAGTTGTCCAAACCATTCTTCTTACATACCAGGAAAGATTTCCTTCCCTACTCCCTCTTTAGTCCTCCTCAACTCAGTAATTTCTTCCTTTTGAATAGGTTGATTCTTTTTTCCTAATATGTATTATAGCCTTAAGATTTTAGTTTTTCTTTGAGGTTGAACTGAACTTTAAAGTCTTGCTAGCATTGTGGCAAGTGGAGATGTTCGTTGAAGGGAAGACCGTTCTTGCTTTGAACATAAGCTGTAGTCCAAAGGTAGGAATATACCTTGCGTGTTGGAAGCATGTGTATCCCAGTAAGCTGGAACATGGACACATGGTACCTACAGCTAACTTGGATAGGCTAGGACTACACAGTAGAGGACTTTGATGTGGATTCCATGCAGTTGGCAGTGGGGAAATGGAGTTGCACTGATAGTCATATTCGTAGATTGCTTAGGTAGTAGGTGTATTGTTTGAACAAAGTAGATGTGTAAAATTCTGATGCTCTAGTACACATGGACAGAAATGAGATCTCAACTAGAGAGATGCGTATGGAAGGTAGAGAACTAAAGATAGCTGGTGCAGATCACAGAACCTGGAATTTTAATCCTTGAATCCTCAAATGAGAGCCTTCCTTAGTCCTAAACTACTGCCAACATGCAAAATTTCTCTAAAAGTCCCATCTTTTATCCTTCTCCTCATTGCAAGTTACCTTGCTTCATTTTGTACAGAAGTATGAGTATGTCACATATGTTAAATAAAATTCTATAGTAAGGAAAGATAAATATAAATCAAAGTAGAGATTTATTATTAATTTACTACTTTAATCGTCTTTAAATGTCCTATAGGTACCAATTATAGCTATGTCTCTTGACTGCAATGATGATTTAATGTCCTAGTCAGACATGGTTAGCTCCCAAGAAACTTTAACCCCAATTTTGTAGTGTTGTAGAGAAATGTGTATTTACAAATCATTGCCTCCCCCGACTGGTAACTGAGTCCAGCAAGCATGCTAAGCAAACATACTAAGCAAGCACTCTACTAGAGAGCTACATCCCCAGCCCTTTTAAAACATTTTTAAAAGTTTGAAACATAGTCCTGCTAAATTGTCCATGCTATCCTTAAATGTGTGATCCTCCTGCCTCAGCCTCCCAGGTATCTAGGATTATAGGCATGCAACACTATGCCAGGCTATATCCAACACTATGTCCCCTCCCCTTCCCTCTCTCCTTTTTTCTTCCTCTACTTTTCCTCTCTTCTCCCTTTCTGCCTCCCACTGTTCTCTGTCTCTTTGTTAGTGTTTACTTTGGAATGTGATATTGAACATAACTGCTGTAATGCCAATGCTTTTGAATCAATAAATGAATTTTAGTTATAATAATTGCCATTTTTGCATATTTTGAAATTCACTAATCCAGCGAGAAAAGGTCTGATGATTATTTATATGTTGTAAATTTATAATTTATATGTTGTAAATCTGTTCAAAGAGCTTAAATTTAACTCATGACAATTACTCTGAAATAACTTACCCTTACAGTGACTAATTTTGGAATATTTTGTAAATTTTTATAGATGTCAAGAAATAAAGCCAGAAGAAAGAAGTATGATTTTTGTGACCAAGTGCCCATGTGATGAATGTGTACCTTTAATTAAAGGTGCAGGCATAAAGCAAATCTATGCAGGGGATGTAGATGTTGGAAAAAAGAAAGCAGACATCTCTTACATGAGGTTTGGTGAACTTGAAGGTGTTGGCAAGTTTACAGTAAGTAGATGCGTTTTTTCTAATTGTACTTCCTATAATGTTGTTTAGCATCCAGTCACATATTATAAATTAGTGGTTTTTACCCTTTTAAAGAATTTCAGCAAACTATTATTGAATTTATTTGTATTTGCAAACACTTACCTGACTAAATGTTCAGCTAAGGATCTCTGCCTTACCAATTTTAGGTCTTGTAGAGCTGTGCATCAACTTTGCATATCTTGAGCCGGTGGATTCTTTGGTGCTATCTGGTGATTGATAATAAAACAAGCTCTGATCCACCAGTTTTTCCTTACTTTCCATTTTGGCTTAGAAAGTAGAGGCAAAAATAGTTTAAGATCATCCAAAATATGGGAACACCCACATAGATACATACACACACACACACACACACACACACACTTATAAAAAAATCAGCCTCATATCCATCAACTTCAAAATCTTAGAACATGGTAATATGTATAGATCTTTATGCCAGATTAGCACAAATGGCCCCTAGTATAATTTCTTTTCTTAAAATTTTTTATTCATTTTAATGAGGAAAAAATACCAATGAAACAGTTTCAAAACAGGGTTAGTAGGACAGTTACAATGACTAATATGTTGCATATTGTTGTCTTCATAGTAGTTATCCAGAGGACAAGATGCAGACATGATATCTTGTCTAAACAATATAAATACAAAGCTTGCTTCTCATTGAACTAATAGAAGGTAGCTGTATATCCTAACTACTTTGTATATACATGTATTTTTTTTCACTATAATATGGTCCTTTGTTTTTTTTTTTTTTTAAATATTTATTTATTTTTATTTATTACATTTATTTATTGTGTGTGTGTGTGGCCAGCTCAGCCCACCAGGGGGCGGGGCTGGCTGGCATGTGGTGCTGGGGATCGAACCGTGGTCCCTGTGCTTCGCCAAGCTTGATTCAAGTAGGTGCTTTAGACCACTGAGCCATCTCTCCAGCCCCCTAATATGGTCCTTTGTTTTTATCCCTTTTTTGTTTTGTTTTGTCAGAGATGGGTGTTCTGTTGTTAGAGAAGCTATATTTGGAGAAATCTTTAAAGGATCTTTTCATACTTGATGCCAGTTCAAATATTGTGGGTACTTGAATTCAGCAAAATAACCCAATATAGTCCAATAGTCCATAATAGTAGTAGGTTATCAGCAGAACTGGCAACCAATTTCTAATAAAGTCCTTCTTCCTAACTGAAACCTTCTGAGAAACAACTTCGTTACACTCCTACCAGCATTCTAGTCTTACAACTTCTAAAATCTCAAGCAGAATCATCATCATCCTACTGTGCTTATAGCATTGTAGGGCTTCTTCAAACCTTTCCAATTCCTCCTGCAACCAGTTTTATATTGTCAGGTGTAGTCACAGCAATAACTCCACATCTCTGGTACCAATTTTCTGTGTTTGCTCATCTCTGAGACACAAAACCCAGCTCTCATAATTTTAAAAAAAGTGAGATATAATTTGGCTCATGGTTTTAGGAGATTCACTACATGGTCAGCTGGCAGAAACATCATGTTGGAAGAGTATAACAAAACAAAACTGTTTAATTTTTGGTGGCTAGTAAGCAGAGAAGGGAAAAGTTTGTGTGAGAAAAGAGGACATAGATAGATCTCCATGACCCACCCAGACACCCCAGAAGTGTGCGCTGCTAATCCTCTGGGAAGCTCTTAAGTCAATCAAGTTGGTAACCCACCTTCCACCTTTTTTTTCCCCAGAAGTGTGCGCTGCTAATCCTCTGGGAAGCTCTTAAGTCAATCAAGTTGGTAACCTACTTTCCACCTTTTTTTCCTCTATTCTTGTGAAGATTAGTTCTTAGTTCCCTTTTCTATCATCTTGTCTGGCTTGAAATAATATATACAGTACATGGTTAGCTAAATGCCTTGTTTTATAAATACCAGTAATTAACCTAAATTAGTATTTGCTCTTACCAGCATAGGAGAGTCAATAAATTTGATACTTGCTTTTAATATTAAATTGAATTGAAATTTATGTTGCTTGAAAAGTTTTTGCTTTACTTTTTATTTGTAAACTATAAACCTTCAGATACATGATCCAGTCCTATCCTTGAGATAAATTGTGTTGTCAAAAACTAGGTTAGATTTGGGCAACACTGCTTTAAAGACTAAGTCTTATCAGTATATATCCATGTGCAATTATTCAGAAATATATAGATTGTTCTGTATTAGGTTGTATTTTTTGAAATTATGAGCACAATTATGAACATAATTATGAATATTATGGTTGTAGAATAGGAAAACAAAAATAATTTTCATTATCCCATAACTCATAGATACTATTAATATGTTGCTGTATTTCTATATTCAAAAATTACTTTTAGTAATAATACAATATCCCAGCACATGGACTTAATTTACTTAATCATTTCCCTATTATTGGATCTCTAGATTGTTTCTAAGTTTTTCATTAGAAAGTAACATTTTTTTAGTTCTGGGGATCAAGCTCAGGACCTTGCACTTGGCAGGCAGGCACTTATGCTGCTGAACTATCTCCCTAGCCCTAGAAAATAACTTTTTATAAATATTTTTTAAGTTATTTTTGAATTCAGCCAATTTTGAAAAAACTATGGCTGCATGAAGCTTTGGGGGACCATCTAGACACAAGCCATAACACATGAGTATGCACATAGCACTGTTGTATGATACTTTTAACTTTTGGGAAGATATCTAGAAGGAGCATAGTTGGGTCAAATGTAACCTGTAGTTTTGGTTTTTTAAGGGCTGGCGAGATAGCTCGGCAGACTAAACACCTGCTTAGGCAAGCACAGGGATGAGGGTTCAATTCTGGCACCATATGCTATGCCTGCTCCACCTCCAGGTGCACTGAGCCAGCCACCAAGTCTGGGCATGGTGGTGCATGCCTGTAATTTCAGTGCTGGGGAGGCTGAAAGCACGAGAATCACTGTGAGTTCGAACTGTAAAGTGAGACCCAGTATCAAATACAAAAAAAAAAAAAGAAAGAAATATGCAAACTGGTTTCCATACTGGTTTCCATAGTGATTATATCAGTTTTCATTCCTACCAACAGTAGAAAAGGGTTCCTTTTTCACACCATTTGTTATTGGTTGATTTCTTGATGACTATTTTTAAATGTAAAGTTGAAATCATTTGTTCTTATTTTCTCTGTTCAAATGAATAGATTTTAGTGGTGCAGTATGTTTCAAAACATACAATACTTCTTTTTATTTTTATTATTTTTATTCTTTTTTTTTTTTTTTTTGGTGGAACCAGGGATTGAACTCAGACCCTTGCACTTGCCAAGGAAACACTTATTCCACTGAGCCATCTCCCCAGCTCCAAAACTTCTTTTTAAAAGAAAATTTCTAATATAACTTCCCATCCCTTGTTAGTCTTTTCTTGGTACTAATCCTAGCCATACCATTTCTAAAAGTGGCCACAAGTCTAAGGGTTTCTGTGCATGGTACAATATTTGTCATGTTATTTCATTCCACCTCAAGATGTTAACTAGTTAATCTGATGAAATAATTGATGTTTATGGAAGAAACTCACAGCTTATTAGTGCTTAATTGTGTCTTTCTGGAGACAGTGGCTCTCTAGAGCTTTTTTTGTCAAGTCATTAGTGATTCAGATAAAGATTTCAACCAGGTAAGAAAGGAAGGAAAAGCTGTACTAGGAATACTGAGGACACCCTTCCCCGACCCCACTCCAGTCCTCAGATGCCCATTCCTTTGAGAGTTTGAGTTGGAATACTGTAACCATAAGAAATGTATGCTGTGTGGCAGATGATATGATAGGTAATATTATATAAAGTCATATGGCATAAATGAGTTTTCTGTAATCATATTAAATAGTAAGATAATATTTGTCATCTTTTTATTCCTTAATACCAAGGCCTTCTTCAGCTATTATAACATTTGATAGAACCTACAGATAGGCTATAATGTTTTAAAAATACTGTCGTATTAGGCATGGACAAGCCCAGGTTCTGGTTCCATCACTGTCTTGTGTGTAACCAGGAACAGATCACTGCAGGTCTCTAAACCTTCCATTTTCTTAACCATGAAATGAATATAGGGCAGGAGAGATAACTCAGTAGAATAAGCTCTTGCCTGGCAAGCATAAGGGCCTGAGTTCAATCCCCAGTTCACCAAAAAAAAAAAAAAAAAAAAAAAAAAGAAAGAAAGAAAGAAATGAATGTAAAGAATCATTGATCAGTACTTCTATAAGGAGAATATTGATTTTGATCCCAGAAGCCACACCACTCAGGATCATTCAGGGTGGCATTCTTACAGCATTGTTGATATGGACATGATATCTCCATTTTCTTATATTGTTTAAAGATGTTTTGATATTTAAAGGCAAAATGCTGAAGTGCTATTCATGAATCATTAAAATATATAAATAAAATATTTGTACTCTCTTACAGTGGCAGCTGAATCCATCTGAAGTTTATGGTTTTGAAAAAAATGATCCTGAAAGGAGAGACAGTAAGTATTTATAAGTCCCAAATGTAGATTAATTTTGTTGCTGAGAAAAATAGATGTGAATGTTAAAGATCAGATGATATAAATTGCTGTGTTAATAGATGGAGCATATTCTTTTTACAGGTTAGATTTGTGCCTATTTGTGAATGTTTGTTTACCTACTATATGCAAGGTACTATGAAAGTGCTAGTAATTCTGTTAAATCTGCAGTTTAATCCAAATGATTGTGTACAAATTGAATTTATAAGTAAAAGTTTTTATGAATAAGTAAACAACAATACTCTTCTATGCAAAAACAGTCTGAGAAAAAATATACATATTCTTGTAGAATAAAGCCACATATAGTTAGGTTTATCAGAGAATAGAAACATGGGTATTTTAATATTCTAAGAATAATCAAGTCCTAGCCCAGGTCCGGTGAGTGTGTGGGAGAGCTTCCTGCTACCCTGCGCCGGCAGGACCTATTACTGGTCCCAGCCCAGGCTCAGCATGGGTGAGACCCTCTTCCACCTTCTTGGGACGCCCCTCACCACTCCGCAGCACCTCCCCCACCCCACCCGCCCAGTAGGAATTTCTGCCATGTTCCGGGAACCCCCAAACCCAGTCCTAGCCCAGGCCCAGTGAGTGTGTGGGAGAGCTTCCCCTACCCTGCTCACGCAGGACATACTACTGGTTCCAGCCCAGGTGCAGCCTGGGTGAGACCCTCTTCCACCCCCTTGGGATGCCCCCGACCACTCCGCAAAACCTCCCCCACGCCGTCCGCCGAGTAGGAATTTCTGCTGCATTCCCGGAACCCCCAGACCCAGTCCTAGCCCAGGTCCCATGAGTGTGTGGGAGAGCTTCCAGCTACCCTGCACGGGCGGGACCTATTACTGGTCCCAGCCCAGGTGCAGCAAGGGTGAGACCCTCTTCCACCCCCTTGGGACACCCCACACCACTCCACAAAACCTCCCCCACCCCGCCCACTGAGTAGGAATTTCTGCCCCATTTCTGGAATCCCCAGACACAGTCCTGGCCCAGGCCCAGTGAGTGTGTGGGAGAGCTACCTATCCCCCCTACTCCACCTTGTCCCCTCCATGCTCAGCTCAGGCCTGGCATACAGGCCTGGGGTGAAACCCTGCAGCTGAAATCCTTGCAGAGAGTGTAGAGGATAGAACCACCCAGCTAGTCCAGGAGCTGAAAATCTGACCAGAGGGGCACAACAGGTTCACCCTCAAGGGCAGCAGCGGGAAGGAGCTGAGCACAGCAGCCAGACCAAGCCAGGCACAGCTGGATAAATCCAAACTTTGTAGATCTGCACCTGAACTTCAGTACGTGCTAAGGTTAAAACTACAACGAAGATCTACAACAAAATTGAGATGACAGTGCTACACAAAATGACGAGAAGGAACAAAATGCAACCTCAGAACCAAGGTCACCCATAACAAGTGCAGAGGACACTAACACAGAACAAATTGGGAATCACACAGTTGAAACAATGAATCAATGGCTTCTGAAATAAAAAAAACAGCTGAAGAAAGGTATAGAGGAACTCAGATTGGAAATAAAAAAAGAAATCCCTGAATTAATAACATCTGCAGTAAAGAATCAAATGCAGAAACATATGGAAGAAACCCAATGCCCACCCAGAACAAGTGAGGAAGACACTAGCTCGGTTCAAATGCATGAATTAATAGGGTCGATAGTAAATAAGCAACAGCAGAAAATTATAAAGGAACTCAGAGCACAGTTCTTTTCTGAAATAAAAAAAGAATTGTCAGAACTCATAGCATCTGAAGTGAAGAAGCAACTGCAGAAACACAGGGAGAAACCCAATCTGAAAAAAAACACTGCAGTAAAAGAATTTGTAACTGCTTCTAAAGAAGACATTGATAAAAAAAAAAATAGAGGAGATTAGAAAAAAAGATGGATTCCTTGAATGAGCAATACAGGAAAGAATTAGATCGCATGAAGCAGAGTCAAAGAGATATAGAGCAAATTAAAATCTCAATCACAAGCTTGCAAAACTGTTTAAGTGAAAGTGAAGACAGAGTTTCAGATCTTGAAGATGCTGGTGAAGCTAGTGAAAAGGTAAGAAA